CCCCGCCTCACCGCCGCCCTCAGCAGCCCGCAGCCAGCCCTGGCCCATCAGCGCCCTGGCCGGCTGGAGCCGTGCCTGCTCCCTGCGCTCCAGCGGCAGCCCCGGCTCCGTGGGCGCCGAGCTGGAGATCAGCCAGTCCCCCACGCTGCCCTTCCTGAGCCCACACCGCGCCACCCACGGGCCCAGCAAGCTGTGCCCAAAGCCCCCGTGTGCACCCAGGGGCCGCCAGGAGCCGGAGGAGGTGAGCTGGCCCTCCTCTGCGGAGCCCCTGGACCCCGACCGGCTGCACCCTGGCCCAGGGCACCCCGAGGTGGCCCTGGCTTCCGTCTCATCCAACTCCACCGTACCTCCAGATGGGGGCTCCCAGGGCTCGTTAGAGAGGACTGGGGAGTGTCGGGATCCCCCATCGCTCCTCTCAGCCAGCTTGGACCCCACGGAAAATCCTTGCCCTGGCGAAGATCACACAACCCTCCGGAGTCCTGAAGATGCCACCAGGACCAATGCCCAGCCCTGCCCAGCAGCCGCCTCCTTCCCCCCAGCCCCACCTCCTACTCCTGCCCCATGGCCTTCTGATCCCCAAGCCTCCTCAGCCTCCTTCCCTCCGGCCTCTTCCTCCTCAGCCTCCTTCCCTCCGACCTCTTCCTCGGCCAACTTTCCTCCAGCCTCTTCCTCAGCCTCCTTCCCTCCACCCTCCTCCTCTGCAAACTTTCCTCCAGCCTCCTCTTCCTCAACCACCGTCCCTCTGGCTTCCTCCACTTCAGCCTCTTTTCCTCTGGCCTCCTCTTCCCCGGCCTCCTTCCCTCCGGCCTCCTCCTCCTGGGCCTCCTTCCCGCCAGTGTCTTCCTCTTCAGCCTTCCACGCAGACACGACAGGACAAAAGTTCTACAACTTCGTGATTCTGCACACCAGAGCGGACGAGCACGTAGCCCTGCGTGTCCGGGAGCGGCTGGAGGCCCTCGGGGTGCCCGAGGGGGCCACGTTCTGTGAGGATTTCCAGGTGCCTGGCCGCGGCGAGCTGCGCTGCCTCCAGGACGCCATCGACCACTCCGGCTTCATCATCCTGCTGCTCACGGCCGCCTTCGACAGCCAGCTGGGGCTGCACCAGCTGAACCAGGCGCTCATGAGCAGCCTCACGCAGCTGGGCCGCCAGGACTGCGTGGTCCCCTTCCTGCCCATCGAGAGCTCCGAGGCACAGCTGGGCCCCGACACCAGCAGCCTGCTGGCCGGCCTGGTGCGGCTGGACGAGCGCTCCGCCATCTTCGCCAGGAAGGTGGCCAACACCTTCGCCCCGCGGCGGCTGCTAGCGCGCCGCGCGCACTGGGCCCAGGAGCAGCAGGCCCGGGCCCTGCGCCAGCAGCGCCCGCAGCTCCAAGGCCACGCCACCTACCCCACGGCCAGCCTGGGGGCCTGGGGCGCCTCCCAGCCCCAGATCCACGCGCTCCAGGAGGCTTTGGGGAGCGGCCTGGTGCTGGGGACTCAGACAAGTCAGCCCCTTCGAGTGCCTTTGGGGGGCCAGGTGCCCCCCTTTTCTACCTGGCCAGGCTGTCCACAGACACCGTCATACGCCTGGCAGGCTGGCACCCCCCCACCGGCCTCCCCACAGCCCCCTTCCTTTCCTCAGCCCCCCACTTCTCCGCCAACGCCCACAGTGCCTCCACAGACCCCCGGACCACAGCCTCTCATTATCCAGCACGCTCAGATGGTGCAGCTGGGGCTCAACAACCACATGTGGAACCAGAGGGGGGCCCCAGCACCCCAAGATCACACGTCACCCCAAGAAGCCGACAGACCAAACGGCCACGACTGATCAGGCCGGGGCCTGGGAGTCTGCCCTGCATTCCAGCCACACACACACACACTGGCAGAGGAAAACGCTACCCAGCGTGCGGTGCCTGTTTACCCGGAGCAACTTGGATATTTTATTGTAATAAATATTTATTGAGGGTTTCTTCTAGGCCGCGCCCTTCCGGATCCCAGCTAACAACCCCGCGCTTCACCTTCGCCCCAGTAAAGGGAAGTTCATTGTTTTACTCGCATCTCATTGGATTAGAAGAGGCATGGTTTCCCCACCCTCTGCTGCAAGGACCACTGGGAAATGTAGTCTTTGTAGAGGACAGCCATTTTCCTGTCAGTTGACTCCTAAAGCCAGGGAAAGTGGGGAGAAAAAGACCCTGGGAGAGGTAGCCGGTTCCTACCACAGTCTTCTGTTTGGGGGGGCTGGGACCCCCCTCTGCTTCCAGCAAGCGTGGGCTCATCTCACTGTCAGGTCTCGCTTCTGTGAGCCTCTGCTTTTCTTTTTTTTTTTTTTGGTCGGTCGTGGGGCCTGAACTCTGGGTCTGGGCGCTGTCCCTCAGCTCTTCAGCTCAAGGTGAGCGCTCTACCACTGGAGCCACAGCGCCACTTCCGGTTTTCTGGTGGTTTATTGGAGATAGGAGTCTCACGGTTTCTCCTCCCCTGGCTGGCTTTGAACCTCGATCCTCAGATCTCAGCCTCCTGAGTAGCTAGGATTACAGGCGTGAGCCACCAGCGCCCGGCAGGTTTTTATCTATTCTAGGGTGAGACTCTTCTTCAGAGTTCCTTTGTTCTGTCCTTGTGGGGGTTGACGGTGGAAACTGTCCTGTGTGGGGTTTTGTGGCAGTCCTGCACTTTCAGATAAGGTCAGGGGTGAAGTTTGCCTGGGAAGCAGGAGAGGTCCGGGAGGAGGGTGGTCAGCGGGCCCTGGGGGTGACACCAAGTTATGAGAACAAAGCAGATTCCATCACTAAAGACAGGGAAAGGGGGGTGGGGTGGGCTGGGAAGTTGGCTCAGTGATGGAGCACTTGCCTTGCATGCTCGAGGCCCTGGGTTCAATTCCTCAGCACCACATAAGCAGAAAAAAGCCAGAAGTAGGGCTGTGGCCCAAGTGGTAGAGCACTAGCCTTGAGCTGAAGAGTTGAGGGACAGCGCCCAGACCCAGAGTTCAGGCCCCACGACTGATCGACTGATACACACACACACAGAGAAAGGAACGAAGGACAAAACAGAACCCTCTCATTTTCATTTCCTGGAATTCATTTTGATCCATTTCTTTTTTTTTTTTTTTGTCGGTCGTGGGGCTTGAACTCTGGGCCTGGGCACTGTCCCTCAGCTCTTCAGCTCAAGGTGAGCGCTCTACCACTGGAGCCACAGCGCCACTTCCGGTTTTCTGGTGGTTTATTGGAGATAGGAGTCTCACGGTCTCTCTTGCCCGGGCTGGCTTTGAACCGCGATCCTCAGATCTCAGCCTCCTGAGTAGCTAGGATGACAGGCGTGAGCCACCAGCGCCCGGCTTGTCTGTGAGACTCTTATCTCCAATGAACTACCAGAAAACTGGAAGTGGCGCTGTGGCTCAAGTGGTAGAGCACTAGCCTTGAGCTGAAGAACTAAGGGACAGCGCCCAGGCCCAGAATTCAGGCCCCACAACTGACAAAAATAAAAGCTAGACTGGAGGTGTGGTCCAAGTGGTAGAACACCAGACATGAGAGGAAAAAAAAGGCAAGCCAAAGAGGTCCTAGCACCAGTGCACACATGCTTGCATGCACATACACCGGTCAGAAGGCAGTAGGGTGCGGCGCTCTGGTCTCTTGCTGGTGTCCTTGATTCCAGGACCCCACGGATGGGTGCTCAGGTTCTTTATTTAAAATGAGGTTGAGGGCTGGGAAGGTGGCTCAGTGGTAGAGCGCTTGCCTCACATGCATGAGGCCCTGGGTTCGATTCCTCAGCACCACATAAGCAGAAAAAGCTGGAAGTATCATTGTGGCTCAAGTGGTAGAGCTGAAGAGCTGAGGGACAGCGCCCAGGCTCAGAGTTCAGCTCCCACGACCAGCAAAAAAAAAGAAAAGGAGGTTGTGCCTCCATGGAACCAGCCTTCTTCCACTGCCCCCCCCCTCCTCTAGGTGTCTCAGGGCACTGATACAATGCCATGGCTTTGGGCACTGTTAACATTGTATCAGCAAGGAGGGCAGGGGGTGGTCTGGATGCTTCAGTGCTTAGATCACTTAAAATTATTTCCAGTTGGGCGCCAGTGGCTCATGCCTGTAATCCAGGCTACTCAGGAGGCTGATATTTAAGAATCATGGTTTGAAGCCAGCCAGGGCAGCAAAGTCTGTGAGATTCTTATCTCCATTGGACCAATAAAAAGCTAGAAGTAGAGCTGTGGTTCAAGTGGTAGAGCACCAGCCTTGAGAGAAAAAGCTCAGGAAAAGTGCCAAGCTCTTCACTTCAAGCCCCAGAACTAGCAAAAACAGGAGGAAAAAAAAAATTTCTATATTTCCACTTGAGTCACACCTCCAGCCTGGTTTTTTTGCTGGTTAATTAAGAGATGGATTCTCATGGACTCTTCTGTTCAGGTTGACATCTTGATTAAACACTTATACCCCCAAAACCCCTCTCCCTTACCCAGGCACTGGTGGCTCAGGCCTGTAATCCTAGCTACCCAGGAGACTGAGATCTGAGGATCCTGATTCAAAGCCAGCCCAGGCAGGAAAGTCTGTGAGACTCTTTTTTTTTTTTTTGGTCGGTTGTGGGGCTTGAACTCTGGGCCTGGGCGCTGTCCCTCAGCTCTTCAGCTCAAGGCGAGCGCTCTACCACTTGAGCTACAGCG